TAGTAGAGACAGGGTTTCACCATGTTGACCAGGATGGTCTCGATCTCTTGACCTTGTGATCCACCCGCCTCGGCCTCCCAAAGTGCTGGGATTACAGGCGTGAGCCACTGCGCCTGGCCAATTTTTTGTATTTTTAGTAGAGACAAGGTTTTATCATGTTGGCCAGGCTGGTGTCAAACTCCTGACCTTGTGATCTGCCCATCTTGTGATCCTCCCGCCTTGGCCTCCCAAAGTGTTGGAATTACAGGTGTCAGCCACTGCATCCAGCCTCATTCTGCTTTTCATATCCTGTAGCCAGGCTGACAATGGAGGATCCTGGAGGGAGGCCAGGAGTGAGCCTCAGCCTGAACCTGACTCCTCCCTTGTACCAGCTGGGTGGCCCTGGGGGCACTGCTGGTCCCCCTGGAGTCTTCTCTCTCTTTGTGCAAATAAAGATGGCTCTATATCTTCTCTCAACATTAGGCTTTTAGCTTGGCATTTATACCATCTCAAAAAATCTACAGGCCAGGAATGGTGGCTCACGCCTGTAACCTAGCAGTTTGGGAGGCCAAGATGGGTGGATCACTTGAGGCCAGAAGATTGAGACCAACATGGCAAAAGCCTGTCTCTACTAAAAATACAAAAACTAGCCGGGTGTTTTGGTTTGCACCCGTAGGCCTAGCTACTCGTGAGGCTGAGGCACAGACTGCACCACTGCACTCCAGCCTGGAAGACAGAGTGAGACTGTTAAAAAAAATCTATAGACAAACCATGCATAAAATTATATGAAGCCTGCATCAGCAAAGGCTAGGTGAAAGTTGGCTTTCTGCTCTACACTGACAAAGTTGTTTTTTTGGAAAGGGCTGGTCAAGGAAGTTAAAGGCTACAACCTGGGACCATGGTCTGAGAGTGGCCAGACCTCCTGGAGGCTAGTGCGACCATGTGAAGAGCCCTGTGAGGAGGGAGCTCCCTAGGAATAACACACTAAACCTGCAGGGGTGAATGCTGAAGGAGGATACTACCTGCCCCTAATTCTTCCCAGTCCCTCCTGAGCCACGCCCCAGCCTAGGCTTGCAGCAAGGCCCCTACCATTGCTCGTGCAGCTGGGAGAGCTGCAGCTGCAGGGCGCCAATCCTCCCGCCGAGCTCCTGCTGCAGCTTGTGGCTCTGCTCCTCGGCCCCCTGCCTTGCCCGCTCTGAGTGCTGCAACCTGGATGCAACACCAGCAAGAAGAGCACAAATGAAGCAAATCTTGTAAGGAAAGGATGACTTTTGCATACCTTTGCTGGCTGAACTTCTTTTAAAAATTAACACACAGTAAAATTAACTCTTGTGAGTTTAACACGTGGAGATTCAGCTCCACCACAATCAGGATACAGAACAGTTCCACCACTCCCAAAACTCCCAAGTACTACCCCTCTGAAGTCACACAGTCTCCTACCTCAGCGCCTGGCAACCACTCATCTGTTCTGCAACAATAAGGCTTTGGCTTTTTGAGAATGTATAAATGTAATTATACTTTATATAACCTTGAGACTGGCTTTTTCTCAGAATAATGTCTTTGAGATCAATTCAAGTTTCCATGTGTATTAATGGTTCATTCCTTTTTTCTCCTGTTCATTCCTTTTTATGGCTGAGCTGTATTTCACTGCACAGATGTGCCAGTTTGTTTATCCACTCACCTAGAGCAGAACATTGTAACTGCTTCTAGTATTTGGCGGTAGTGAACAGAGCTGCTATAAACATGTGTACTGGTTTTAGTGTAGACATAAGTTTCATTTCTATTTGGATCATATGGTAAGAGGATGTTCAGCTTTTTGAGAAACTGTTTTCCTAAGTGGTTGCACCATTTTGCATTCCCACCAATAATGTATGAGAGACCCATTTGTTCTGTGTCCTCACTGGCACATGGTATTGTCATTAAAGAAACCGTAGCTGTTCTAACAGGTGTGTGGTAGGATTGTGTGGCTCCTTTCTCTTTTTCTTATTTTTGAGACAGAGTCTTGCTCTGTTGCCCAGGATGGAGTGCAATTGGCACCATCTCAACTCACTGTAACCTCCACCTCCCAGGTTCAAACAATTCTTCTGCCTCAGCCTCCCGAGTAGCTGGGACTACAGGCATGTGCCACCACACCTGGCTAATTTTTTTTTGTATTTTTAGTAGAGATGAGGTTTCACTATGTTTGTTGGTCAGGCTGGTTTTGAACTCCTGACCTTGTGATCCACCCCCTCAGCTTCCCAAAGTGCTGGGATTACAGGTGTGAGCCACTGCACCTGGCCAAGGTTCATTTTCTGGCATATGGAATAGCTAATTGCTCCAACATAATTTTTTTAAGACAGCATCTCCTTCTGCTGCCCAGGCTGGTCTTGGATTCCTGGCCTCCAGTGATCCTCCCACCTCAACCTCCCAAAGTGTTGGAGTTACAGGCATGAGCCACTGTGCCCAGCACCCAACATCACTTATTGACATCATTTATTGACAAGACTATCCTTTCTCCACTGAACTGCCTCAGGAACTTTGTAAAAAGAAGTTGGTCTTATTTGTCTGGGTCTTTTTTTAAACTTTATACTGATCCATTGCTGACCTGGTATTTAAATGTGATAGTGTCAAGGAGTTCATAGTAGAGTTCTAATGCACCAATAGGAGAATCTGATGAAGTAGCCAAAAGGTTGATTAAAAGCTAGGCAACGCTGAGGGCGGTGGCTCCAGCCTGTAATTCCAGATACTCGGGAGGCTGAAGCAAGAGAATGGCTTGAACCCGGGAGGTGGAGGTTGCAGTGAGCCAAGATCATGCCACTGCACTCCAGCCTGGGCAACAGAGTGAGACTGTGTCTCAAAAAAAAAAAAAAAGCTAGGCAAGGCTGCTGAACCTAGTCCTCTTGTTGGGCAAGACTATGGCCTGAAGGACAGTCATCCCATTAACACTGCACTTTTGAGAGGGACTCTGAATAAGTCTCCAGGCCCAGGGAATGCTCAGCACCTTCCAGAAAACATCTGTCAGTGGGGGGTAATTACCTCTCTTCCATTTGTTTCATGCTGGACATCACTTGGTTGGTTTTTCCTTCAAAGGAAGTGATGGCTTCATTCTTCTGTTGCAGACTGCTCTCTGCATTCTACAAAAGCAAAGGAGGGCTTCATACTCTGCGTGTCCCGCATCCTCGCGCATGCTCTGGATTACAAATGGGGCTTTTAACCTTGTACCTTCCTGACACTTTCAAGAGTATTCTGCTAATTGCTGCTCTTCTCCAGAGCCCTGGAAGACAAACTGAGTCAAGGCTCCCAGCTTTGTCAACAGAAGGGAAGGCAGAGAGGGAGGTCCTGGAGTCTCTGCTCCTTTTTGACAGCGTATTCCAGTCAGGTCAGACTCAGTGTTCCCCAGCTGTCCCCACGTGCCAGGCACATCCACTAGTTCATCTCAGCCCTGAAGGGTTCTCAAGGAAGATGCTCTCACCCCGCTTTTCCCACTGAGAAATGGAAGCTCGGAAGAAAGATACTGGATGAAGGTTAAGAGCAAATGAGGAGTGGAACTGGGTTCACACCTACATCTGTGTGATTTTCTGCGAGTACAGCTTTTAGCCATGACAGATACAGAGTGGCCAGGAGGGGGCACTGTGTGTTTCTGAGTGTTTACAAGAGACACCTTCAAAAAGCCTGAAGACAGGCCAGGGGCAGGGGGGTGGGGGGCAGCGGTGGCTCACGCCTATAATACCAGCACTTTGGGAGGCAAAGGAGGGTGCATTACCTGAGGTCAGGAGTTCGAGACTGGCCTGACCAACATGGTGAAACTCTACTAAAACTATAAAAACTAGCTGGGTGTGGTGGTATACACCTGTAATCCCGGCTACTTAGGAGGCTGAGGCAGGAGAATCCATTGAGCCCAGGAGACAGAGGCTGAAGTGAGTGCGAATAGAGGGAGACTCTGTCTCAAAAAAAAAAAAAAGCCTGAAGACAGAAGCCCTAATAAATTCCTGAAAAATGAGCTACAGACTGTATTCTCTGACCTTAATGTATGAAAATCAGACCTTTTTTTTTTTTTTTTTTGAGACGAAGTCTCACTCCGTAGTCCAGTGGAACGATCTTGACTCACTGGAACCTCCACCTCCCAGGTTTAAGCGATTCTCTTGCCTCTGCCTCCCAAGTGGCTGAGAGTACAGGCACCTGCCACCACGCCCAGGCTATTTTTTGTATTTTTTTTTCTTTTTTTGTATTATTATTTTTTTAATAGAGATGGGGTTTCACTGTGTTAGCCAGGATGGTCCTGATCTCCTGGCCTTGTGATTCACCTGCACTGGTCTCCCAAAGTGCTGGGATTACAGGCATGAGCTACCACGCTCGGCCAAAATCAGACATTAATAACAAAAGGATAGCTAGAAACACCTCTCATCTGAAAACTAAATGGCATATTACTAGAAAGGATTGAGCTAAAAAAAAGGGGTGGGAAATTACGAAATACTTAGAGCTAAAAGAATGCGAACACCATATGATATTTCACTGCATTGAAGATGCCAATGTTTCTAGGAAACACCATAATTTCATACACAACTGAGAAAGGAAAACTGTGCTGATTGAAACAGGATACGCCATCTTGACTAAAAGATGCATCTCAATTTCAGAGATGCTAAAATGGGAAAAATGTGCTTCTGTGATTATGAAATACTTCAGTCACAATTTGAGAGACACAGCTAAAGTAGATCTTGTGGGTAATTTTTAACTTTAAATAAATTTTTTAATGAAACAGAGACAAAACCAATGCACTTAGTGTGCATTTCAGAAGGTGAAAATGAGCTACAGAGCAAACCCACATAAAACAAGTAGAACAAAAAGGTGAGAGTGAGCTGTTCCAGTCACATTACTGACACCAACTGTGTGGGTTTTCCACACCAACGACCAATTCTGACACTAATTACATGTCTGATAATTCAATTCTTTAGTGCACACTCCACAGGTTAAGGGCTCAGTCCCACAAGACTGTCCCACTTGAAACACCAGTTCCAAATCCCAGATTTCCATTGCATTTCTGACCAAGTGGTTATACCCTGGGGGTTCCCAAGACCCCCTCCTCAGCTTTGCTAGAATGGCTGCCGGAACTCAGGAAGGCACTTTACTTGCTATTACTGTTTTCTCATAAAGGAACAGCCAAATGGAAGAGACACACAGGACACAGGATGGGGGAAGGAGTGCAGAGCTTCCACCTCTTTGGATACGCCACCCTCCCAGCACCGTGAGGGAGTCATTAGCCCAGAAGCTCTCTGAACCTTGTTGTTTAGGGTTCTTAGGGAGATCTCATTATATAGCCATGACTTATTAAATCATTGATCCCTGGTGATTAGCTCAATCTCCAGTCCTTCTCCCCTGCCTCCAGGAGTGGGGCTGAAAAGTTCTAACTCTATAATCGTGCTGGGCAACCAGTGACCATCCGGAAGCCACCTAGAAGCCCCCAGCTATACCTGTTGTTAGCATACAAAAGACTCTTATCACTCTAGAGTATCTAAGGGTTTAAGCAGCTGCATACTAGAAACCAGAGGCAGAAACCAAATATGTATTTCTTGTTATGCCGTGAAATCAATTAAGTATGAAACAACAGTAAAGAATATTAAGATAGGCCAGGCACGGTGGCTCATGCCTGTAATACCAGCACTTTGGGAGGCTGAGGCGGGTGGATCACTTGAGGTCAGGAGTTCAAGACCAGCCTGACCAACATGGTGAAATCCCATCTCCACTAAAATTCAAAACTTAGCTGGGCATGGTGGTGCATGCCTGTAATCCCAGCTACTTGGGAGGCTGAGCAAGGAGAAACGCTTGAACCAGGAAGGTGGAGGCTGGAGATTGCAGTGAGCTGAGATCACACCATTGCACTCCAGCCTGGGCAACAAGAGTGAAACTCCCTCCCAAAAAAAAAAAAAAGAAAAAGGAATATGATTGACTCAACCATCTACATTAGAAGCCCAAAGGGGGAAAAGGGTTTAGAGTGAAAACAAGAGGACACAATCCTAGCAGTACCAGAGAGTCTCTTGGTGTGTGGTGCTTCTCAAATGAAAGCCAACCATATTGGGCCAGGTGTGGTGGCTCACACTTGTAATCACAATACTTTGGGAGGCTGAAGCGGGCCAGACTGCTTGAGCTCTGGAGTTCAAGACCAGCCTGGGAAACATGGTGAAACCCTGTCTCCACCAAAAATACAAAAATTAGCTGGCATGGTGGCAAGGACCTATAATCCCAACCACACGGGGGACTGAGGTAGAAGAATTGGTTGAACCTGGGAGGTGGAGGCTGCAGTGAGTTGAGATCTCACCACTGTACTCCAGCCTGTGCAACAAAGCCAGACCCTGTCCCCCACCAAAAAAAAAAAAAAAAGAAAACTGACCATATGTGGCATTGACTTGGGAAGCAGGGGTGGGTGCTGTCAAAGTAGAAGCTGGCAGCTGTAAAGCTGGTGATCCCTGTTAGCTATGGCAAAGTGTTGGGTACAACTGTCACTTGCCTAAGCTGGGCAAACAGCATAGGCCAGCAATGCCTGGAAAGAGCTGCAGGAGCCAGGACAGTGCATGTTGGCTGTCTTGCTGTCTGAACAAGGTGTTGTGAAGAAGGGCCATGCACAGGCGGAAGTCAGCTGGCTGGCACGGAGAGATGAACAGGAATAAAGAGGCCAACGGTAGGGACCTCACAGAATCAGAAACATTAACTGCTTCTGGACCCTAAAATAGATGACTAAGAGCAGCAATGAAGGTGCTATAGAACAGCGGTGCAGTGAAGATCATATCAAAGGTGCTTCTCTCACACCTAAATCTGTTGTTTCAGATGACCACTCATTAACATGACAGAGGGAGAGGGAGAAGGAAAGATACACAGACACACACAGCAAAGAAGCAAAGCAATAAGGCAGGAGCAAGAACAGTAGTGTTCTGGGAGGAACTCTGGTCACTGACACACAGACCAAGGAGAAGTAAACTGAACAGAGGCTGCGACTGAGGCAACTGCCTTATCACAGGCATCGAGTGTGTAGCCTGAAAAACATCTGTGACTGATCCCTACTACAACAGCCAGGCTGGCCAAGAGATCCCAGCAAGAAGCTGGTTGAAGAAGCTGGTCATAAAAGCTGCACAGCCCCCAACGAGGGTATGCTCTGAGCCCTCTTCAGATGTGGCCATAGATGATGGTGGACCTCTTGGGGGATGCGGGGTCAGCTGATCAAAAAATTATTTCAAAGGCAGAACCAGGGTGGCCAGGCATGCTAAAAAACAGAGCCCACCATTAGGTGCAGTAGTCTTCGTGGTTCCTGCCCCAGGGGCTGGCTTCTGCTGTGTCTCCCTTTCCCACACGGGCATTTCCACTATGTATGTCTTGTTTCTGCTCCACTGTTTCATGCTGTGGGTGACAGGCTAACGTGAGAAAGACACTAGCCTTCTGGGCCACAGGTCCCATGGGCTGCTGGAGAGGGCTACACATCAGCCAGAGTCTGCAGATTTGAGGAGGATGCAGGGTCCAGCTGGGATGTCACGGCAGCTTCCGTGGGCTGACTGTGGTAGAGACAATGATCTATCTACCAACATCTCTCTTTCCTTCCCCTGGCTTGTAGCTCAGGAAAAAAGGAGCTTCCAGGTCCCCCTAGGAGATAAGCGTGGCACTGGTGACCAACTCCTTCCCATGGAACTGACTGGAAGCAATGTGTGCAACTTCTGTCTCACTGCCTGAGAGGAAGTCCTGGCTCTGGACTTTTGTTTTTCCCCTACCTTCCAATGGCAAGAACGGCGACAACTAGAGTGGCCCGAACAGTTGGGGCCCTGAATGACTGTGGGGAACAAAAGTGCTAGTCTGAAATGCCCATCCTGCAACCATTACATAACAGAAATACAAATTCCCATATACATGAGAATGTGTGTGTGTGTATTTTTTTTTCACTGCCTTTAAGCATGGAAATTTGGTCAACAAATAAGAGATTTTAGGGTCTGCTAAGTTCTTACAGCAGTTTAGTTTTCCCTAACAAACACACATTTATATTATGCCTGTTTACTAATTAATACCAGAAGAAAACATAAAAAAATTAAAATAGATGATTTGTCAGGAAGGTGAAACTATTTTCTTTCTTCCCTTAAAATTAAAAAAAATTTTTTTTATCACTGGGGAAGAGATGCGTATTCTTTCTTTCTTCTTTTATTTTGCTTCAATATTTACTGTTGCTATTATAATCTTGATTAATACATATTTTTTTTTTTTTTT